TAATCAAAATCTTGAATAAATCTCCTTTCCCAAAATTGATGTAAAACTTGTACACAGAGTTTGAAATTGATCCTTATTTCATTCGTCATCAAAACATCTTAAGTATCGAAACAAAAATACAGTATATAGTGTTGTTTAAAAAGGCGATTGAATGAAACTATTGCCTAAATAGAGGGGGGGGGGGGGGGGGGGGGGGGTAGGAAACAAAACTTCTTTGATTAACTGGAAATTCTTGTAATGACCGAGTCATTGTCCCAATTTCTTTATAACAAATAAATGAATATATACTTAAAGTGCTCTAGTACTTTCTGAAACCTCATCATCATTATTTTTGATTGACACTTTTCAAATTAAAAAAAGAATTTAAAAAGCAAAAAGGATGAGTATCGAATTCAGTGCAGTGGAAAACCCACCATTTTCATGGTATTGGGTTTAAGTTCGGTTGCCTTAGTCTCAAACGATATCCACTACACCACGGCTCACCCCGACAGAAATCATGATAGTTTTACTATTTATCACACACTCTCAAGTATTGCACCATCAATATGATGCAATCATAATGCCGTATATTACCAGAGAGGGCGGCTCACAGTTGGCTTCATTTATAAATTGTCCATTGGAAACCATGATCCCTATAATGTTTCCCCTTCTCCTTTTTCTGTCTCTATCTCTCTGTCTCTCTCTGTCTGTCTCTCTGTCTGTCTCTCTCTCTTACCCATTCCATTTTCCCCTCTGTGTTATGCCTTATTCTATTTAACCCTTTCTTAATCATATTTATGAATAATTCTCCTTTCCCAAAATGAAAACATTAAACGCAGAGTACTTAGAATAAAATTGAAATTGATCTTTATTTCATTCATCATAAAAAAAACCCTCTAAAATACAAAACAAAGTATACAGAACATTTACAATAGAATAAAACAACAACAATAATGTCATATGATTGTGGAGACAGCTAGCAAAGTCAAAGGTTTCATTTGTGCTGCCATCGAAACAAAATATAGTATCATATTGTTGCAACACAACTTCTTTGATTAACTGGAATTATAAGTTCTTGTAATGATCAAGTCATTCTCCCAACTTCTCTATTACAAATAAATGAATATAATAGACGATACAAAGTGCTCTAGTTTATTCTGAAACCTCATCATCATTATGTTTGATTGACACTTTTCAAATTTAAATAAAATTTAAAAAAGCAAAAAGGATGAGTATCGAATTCAGTGCAGTGGAAAACCCACCATTTTCATGGTATTGGGTTTAAGTCCGGTTGCTTCAGTCTCAAACGATATCCACTACACCACGGCTCACCCCGACAGAAATCATGATAGTTTTACTATTTATCACACTCTCAAGTATTGCACCATCAATATGGTGCAATCATAATGCTGTATATTGCCGGAGAGGGCGGCTCACAATTTAGAACAAGTTTGCTTCATTTATTCAATCTGTTCTGTATAACCTCATCATCATTATTCAAAATGAACAGTTGAAACGAATTTAAAGTAATGAAATATTAAATAAAGCAAAAAGGAAGAGAAAACAAAAAAGCGCACCACCACGACTGTAACATGTTACATGTAGGCCCCGCGGAAGATGTTTCAAAGTGCGGTGGGGGGGGGGGGGGGGGGGGGGGGGGGGGATACCAAAGTATATAGTAGAGCGTGAGCGTAAATTGGGGTCTATGCATGCAGGGGCAACGCTCCGGCGGGGGGGGGGGGGGGGGGGGGGGGGTTAAGGTGCGGAGCCCCGGGAGCTCAGGTGTTTCAGCATTTATTTACGGTCAGATGAGCATTCTGGGGTCCGTGTTAGGGTCCCTGGTGGGGTACAGGGGGTGGAGCCCCAACAAAAGCATTTGGTTAAGGTCAGATGAGCATTAATTTGTTGATACCTCATTAAATTTGTGACACTTACCGGTTAGTATTCTTCTTTTCTTTCTACCTTCTTTCCACTTCTCTTTAACATACCTTTTCAAAAAATGAGGGGGGGGGGTCTGAGTCTCAAGCCCTCCGAGCCCCGCCCTTGTGCGGATCTGTAGGCTTCTATTATCAGTTTTTGAGCCTGTGACTGTAAATTTGGGAATTTGGCTTAAAAAAGTATTATTTACAAAAATCCAAGAAAACCATGTCATTTCAGCATCATTTGTTAATCACTGGTATGATCCACCCCCCCCCCCCCCCCCCCCCCATATCATCAGTAAGCCAGTGCGAGAGGGTAAAAACAATGGTCGTATTGTTTTCAGCACCACCCATCCCCAAAATAACTATTGTAGCGGTCCACGACTGATGGATTTTTAGTTCACGTGTAGTAAATTTCACGAAGCCACTGTATTCCAATGGGTTGACGTAAGCACGAACCAATCAATTATCCTCGTTCACAACATGTGACCGTGTGAGAAACCCTAGTTACAGACGGATGTTTATAAGCAACGGACTTTGCCCCGCGCTACTGCGAAAACTGTGCCGCTTCTTACACTGGAATTAGGTAAAATATACTTTCTGGATCTTGGATTTTTATGTTTTGGCTGAGAAAAGGTGAGTTGGATATCTAAGAACGTATTTATTGAGGTTGTAAGGGATAAATATTCTTTTAGAATTTATATGCAGCGATTTTATGTCAGTATGTCGACATCGATTGGGTAGTATTTCGCGCGCCGACTGGTTGCGGTTTCCTCTCCATATAGCGCATCGATTGTTTACGGCCGCTACCGGGCTGTGCAGGGCATGTGTGTGTGCCATGCAGCCCATCCTTGCTCGCTAGCCCAGCTCTGGACGACGGCAGTGAGTGGTGTCGGATTACATCTTGACAAGAACCAGACTGACATTGCATTGCATCTTGAGCCGATAAACAGGCGGGCCAGTGACAGTCACAGTCACATATTTCTGGATGTTGTCTTCGTCCAGTTGCGTCCAGTGATGCCTACATGTACATTTAACAACCATAAACATTAATATATTTCTTTGTAAGATAATGTTGGCACTGTTGCACTTGCAGTGTTGCCTGTTGGCATTGCTGAATATAATAATATTCTATGTTGCTGTGTCTTCGACTCTGACAGTCTTTGAGACTCTCACCCTCAGAGGAAGGAAGAAAAGGGAAGAATAATGAGGAGAAAGAAGAGGGAGATTGAAGATGAAGAAGGAAGAAGAGAGGGAAGTATAATGAAGAAAAGGAAAAAAGGAGAAAGAAGAGAGGGAAGTAGAAGAATAATAAAGAAAGAAAGAAATAAGAAAGAGGAATTAAGTTTTAACACAAAAATGAAAAAAAGAAAGGAGGAGAAAGAAGAAAGATCTATGGTCAGGATACGAAAAATGAAAAGAATGTGTACACTTTACATGTAAAGTTAAGGCCTACAGACAGTCTCTGCTTTACCAGTATACACAAAATGATTGGTGATGAAATGTACATGATGTAACTCACTGTTCAAGATACATGTACTTGACATCTGTTCAAGGAGTGGGGGGGGGGGGGTGCCGCTCTAATTGGTAATTTTTTTCACAAAATGACCCTTAAAAATGGGTAGGGGTTTCGAGGTTTGAGCGGCTCACCCCCGTCCAAACCAAATCTGAGAACCAATTCTGAAGAAATCCAAATAAACTATGAAGTAATAAAAATCAGTATATTTGCAATTTGAACTTATTTTGAGACTCTCTCCCCCCCCCCCCCCCCCTCTCTCATTTCATCCCTGTAAATCTTCCTATTGCATTAAGTGCTTTATAAATATTGCATATTCTTTTTATTATTTATTAATATTAATAATGATAATAATAATAAATAATAATAAAACATTGCTACATGTACTTTTAGATAAAATAAATCTCACCCTTTCTCCTGATAGCTGAAGAAAGAGTTTATTTGTTTATTTATTCCTTTCCACAACATGCAGTATGCACACACATGTATTCACATCAGACAATCTAATATTTTAACCAGGACTTAACTCCAATAACATACAAACAAATTACAACATATTGTTTATTATGGCAGTTCCTTTACCAAACCAGATTTGTTTGCTGAGCTTTTTTCTTGTGTGTGTGTCTGTTTTGGCATGTTTTCAATGGCCATGTGTGATTAAAAGCTGAGACATAAGACTAGGAGCTAGTTTGAAAGTTGAGATTTCCCTGCAGAAAGTCCCAGTTTTTTTACTGCAGTTATTATTATTTTTTTTACTACAGCTCTTTATACAGTCATCCAGAGCTCTTTTTGAAACTTTCAAACCTAAATCTTATTTATGCACTCTTGTGAATGTTGTTTATTGTTGTCAATGCCTTGCCATGTTGTAAACTCTTCCAGTGCATGTGCAAAAAATACGTTATGAGAGCCAGAAAGTGCTAGCTTTAAGACTCTCATAGGGTGAATGCCCTTCTGGCTCTGAACAGACACAAATGTTTTTATTTACATGTACCTTTAATACTAAAGGTGAGTAATGTACCAAGGAGTTCCCTGAATGGACTAATCTTCATTCAGAAGTGTTTTTATTGGAGCTCTGTGTTTGGTTTATTGTTATACCGAACAATCCAAGGGTAATTGGAGGCAAGTTATATTCTTCTGTCAAGATAAGATGGCTATCATGCAGACCCATGTTGACTTTGTTGATTTGACAATAGAGATCATCAAATTATCGCCTCTGGTCGATTCTAGCTTTTATTACTAGTCTTTATTTTCAGACCAACTTTTATTCACCATCATGCGAAGAAACAATGTTATTTAGAGCTTCCCCCTCCAGTTTTTCATCTTAGTTTCAAAACTCAAAAGTAATTTTAACATGTAGTCATGTACAACTTTTGTAGTTTCTTAGTTTATTAGCTTGTTATTTTATTCCACACTCCTTTTTCATTTACATGTACAAACACTTACAACAAAGGCCTACCTCCAATTTAAAAAAAATAAAAAAATTCACCACATCGTGGAAACAAGTGTTCTCTTCCTTGACATGTTTCAACTACATCTTTAATTTTTTGTTTATTTGTATGTACAACCTGTGCATGTACAACCATCTATATTCCAAGGTTCTCATCCCAGCCCACTTCCCATTTCCCATTTCCTGCCCATGACGCCCTTTTTAAAATTGTATTTTTTTGCCATGATATATTATGATGTTTTGTATATTATAGAGGCATTGAATTAAAACAACAATCATTGAGCTGTGAACTTGGCATTTGACATTTTATGGAAATGAATATTAACATGAAAAAAAAAAATTAATGCAAGGGACAAAAGTTGATTCAAAGCTGGCCGCTATACATGTGAGGTTTATGATTTTGTGAAGCGTCTGAAAATGGAGACCATGATTTATATTTTGGAATCATTGATAAGCTACATGCACTTGTAGAAATAATTTGATCTTTAGTTTGATAGGATTGTGGAAATTATGCTAGAAAGGGAGGCACTCTAGCTCAAATTGTTGGGTTTTATTGACTTTCATTTCAAGATAAAGAACTTATAGAAATACCTCAGGTATTGTGGAGGAGCAAGTTTAAATCTTAATCCCAGGGAACTTCAAAGCTCCTTGCTAATAATGAAGAAATTAATATTGACCACCCAGCAAGTTTTAAAGTCAAGCCAGACTGGCGTTACGATATTCTGGTTAACATGGTGTTTTAGATCAGGAAGAAATATATTTGTAAAGATATATTCCATCCACCGGTAGATATTGGAAGGTACAGTACATACACTGTACATGTACCTTTATTAAAGAAATTGGACTTTTAAGGAATATTTTCTAACTGTTACATGTATGTTTATATTTTTACTTCAGAACCAGCAAGACATGCATGGATCTATATACTGCAAGTCATCAAGGAACTAGGTTAAAGATGTAATCCCATGGAAGTCTGACCATGACCTGTAAGCCACTCATCTCCATGGAAACGAAGGATCTCTGACCTCATTCATGACTGCACTTTGTTTTCATCAGATGAAGGAATAAAGCAACTTGAGCCACTGCATTATAACATACAGTAGGCTAGACTTTAGCGCAGCTGTATCACATTATAGCTTGTGTTGCATTTTGGATTGTGTTTTCTTTAGACCATGTAGGTGTTAGGTGTACCACGTGGTGTTTTGATCAATAAATGGTGTCAGACAACAAATAACTTTGTTGTCGATTACAAGCGCATTACCATTAACAGGAAATGCCTGTTTCACAACTTGATGTTCGCACCTCCGATGTGAATCCCAGACCCAGGGGTTACGACTTCTGGTGCCAAGTTTTTGCGAAGTGATCGCTTCATCAGCGATTGACTGACGATTAGAAACATGGACAAGCTGGTGAAGCCATCAGCATCGACGTCTCCGCCGACGGCCAACAATGGCAAGCGGGGACCGACATGCTCCCTGAGCGGGAGTAGCTCCAGCGAGGGGGAGGGGTCAGACCATGAGGAGATACCCCCCTCCCCCTGTAGCAGCACCTCCAGTGGACCCACCTACGTGCGCCCTCCGGGGTTCAAGCACCATGGACAAGAAATCAAGGTCCAGGAACAGAGGCCAAAGGTCAATACTAGTGTGCGAATCAAGCGCAAGATCAAGAGACAGTCTATGATGAAGGATGTGTTGCCGCTCAGTCATGTGACCTCTCACCCTGTTACCAAGGTAACGATGGAGGAGAAGACGACTGGGGTCCAGGTCCTGCCGCCCAGTGGGATGAAAACTAAAGTCAGGAAAGGTAGGTTCAAGAAAACAACTACTTTAACACTTACTTACATGTACATCAGGGAGGTGGGAAACATGTACAATCAATTTTGATAACATTTTTATTAGAAAGAAGTGTCATATTTCAAGAGCTAGTTTTCGCTTGTCTGAAAGTTCAAAAACTTAAAATTTACAAAATATAGATGTACGGCAGTTTTGACTAGAGGAGGAGGGGGGAGGGGGGGGGGTTGAAATTTAGTGTCTTGGAAATAATAAGTTGCTTTTATTGAAAAGAGAAAGATTAGAGAACCAAATGACTTGTGTCTTGAAACTATGTGATGGGGAATATGTACATGTACATGTAGCTATTGTCCATAGGGCAAGTTAATCTGCCCCCCCCCCCCCTTCAAATGAATTCTACTGCTTATTACAGATCATACAATGTACATGTACAGGTACATGAACATGTACAGTATACATTATACGTGTAAACTGTATGTTGAACGCAAATTTGTGTACCAAGGTTACATTGTAGGTTTTCCTTTTACTGATACATAAAAAGTAAGAAGCTCCATTTTGTTGACTTCCATGCACATATGATTCTTATTGTAAAAGACTTTCTTGATTGTAACTTGATAAGGCAGTAACTCAATATTAGCTTGGCAAAATGAGCTGCTTACTCCTAATGGAATTTGAGTTGTACTTCTGAATTCTGATACAATTGTTGGGGAAACGTCATGCCGAGAATTCAATAAGGATTTTAGATTTGGGTCATTATTATAATGAGTAATGAGATTGCATTACATTCTACTTGGGGTATTACTGAGTTCTTTCACCTCTTTTTTTTCATTGGACCAAGCTTCTTTTCTTTACAAGCTTTGTCTGAATAAATTGTTTCATTGTAATGTGAAATGTAAGTCTGTAAATGTATACAGTTTTTGAAGGCCCCTCCCTTCTCACTCTTCCCTCTCTTTTTCTCTCTTTTTTTTTCTCTCTCTCTTTCTCTCTCTCTCTCTCTCTCTCTCTTCTCTCTCTCTCTCTCTCCCCCCTCTCTCTCTCTCTCTCTCTCTCTCTCTCTCTCAAGAAGTACATCAACATCAGTTTTTAAATGTTAGAAAACAAAACACTTGAGTTCTGATCCAGACATGTACATTTAAAATGCAAATGATGACCTCAGATACACATACATGTACTTTATATCTCCAGAACAATATTGACTATGAACATTGTATGTATTGCATTATTTATAGCCTTTCTGATATACTGTAATGTGTACCATTACACAAATAAAACATGGCCTTCACGGTGTGAAGTGCTGATGTCTAATAGGGTAAATCGTTTCTATGGTAACAGAATTACATTTGTTTTTCCCCTCTTGTGAGCACTAAGCAAACTATTGTGAAAAGGTGCAAATGCTTTTTATACATGTGAAGGGTAATTGTTGTATAATAGTTTTCAATAAAAATGTATATTTATTCAATTAATGCATTTATAAATCTACATGTAGTTAAAATGCCTGACAAAGGCAACTATATTTATTTAATGAAGGAAGGTTCTTTCCCCCCATATAATTACTTCCATACTATAGTATACATGTAGTACATCATTTTGTCCCTTAATTCTCTCTGTGTATTTAATTAGAATTTGGTTCATCTGACAAAAATTATTTGTTTCTCTCTTTATAGTGCCTCTGCATGATCAATCATGTCTTATGTATACAGCCTTTAAATGTAAATTCTACTTCTTTATCACAGGCCAAATTCTCTGTTGCCTTTCACGTTTGTCTAGCCAAGCACTAGAGATTCAAATTGAAAATTCAAGCCTGAAGGGAAAAAGTGTCAGATTCCTTCCCAATTTGTGTCCTAAAATTGTCAGATATAGTATATGCCCTTTCGCCCCCAAATGCCTGTACTGTGTGTTCAACTAGACGCCCAGCTGTAGCACATGCAACACAGCTTTGAGCACGCATCTCTGTTTGGAAAGTAAGGAGTATAGCTGTCTGTGAGGCCTGTCCTCATCAGTTCGAGTTTACCAAATAACCCGCTATTTGAACTATCCTGAACGAAAATTAACCGGTTAGTTTGCATCCTCATCAGCCCGCAGTTTAAATTAGCGGGATATTTGGTCAAGAAAATATCCCGGGAAATGTTGGTCTTGTTTCCAAAATATCCAGCTATTTCGGAAAAAGCGGGCTAATTTGCGCCCGTCCGAGCTAGTTTGTGATGAGCGTATCAGTCTGGTGAAAACGCAATTTTGAGCTTCGGGATAATATCCCGAGTCTGAGAATAGTGGGTTTTTTGGCAATCTCAAGCTGATGATGGCCTGATGAGGACAGGCCCCATGGGTATAGAACAGGATTCCATTAGAGAAGTGCCATCCAAGGGCATCTCTGTTTACATAAGAAGATGGGAAACACATGTAGTCTACTGTAGTGTACTGGCTATACATGTAGCAGGTGGGTGGAGGGGGGGGGGGGGGTGAATATTTGCAATACCTGGTTGGCTCATTAATACTTCCAAAACACAAGTTTGATAAATCATCAGTTTATTGAATTTATTAACGATACTGGAAAAAACTGTTTAACATTTTATTATTATTATTATTGTTACTATCATTTGTATGCATAATATTATTATTACTATTATTACTATAGGGTGCCTGGCAAAAGGTTGAATTGGGCCATGTTTGAAAGTTTTAGACTTTCTTTAATTATCTTGAAAGCCTGAGAGAAAGCAAATTCATTTTGAAAACGTCCCCCTATTACCTTAGTCCAATTTTTCTTAATGAAATTTCTTTGACAATCATTTCTTTCTTATAAACAAAAAACGTTTATACATATATGCCACATATGTTTTCTCCTTGTACGTCTTCCCCTTGTCTTTTCAAACTACATGTGAATGTATCTCACTTCCATCTTTCCCACTGTCATCTTTTCTATGAAGATGTTGTTATCTAGTTCATAATGGATCTCCGGCTAATGTATGATTTGGAAAGTGCTAACGGCTCAATAAAACCTGAGATCCAAGAAAGACACCATCTCAAAAGAAACGCATTTCATCCTTTTTGTTTACATCACCATCAAAGTCCCAGTCAATTTAGAAAAATCGTCATGTGGCTCGTTAGAATGAGAGATTAAAATCTCTTCGCTGGCAGTGCCGTAATTGACGCATCAGCTAGGGCACTGCCACAGAAGAAAAAAATTTGCCCTGAGTTTACATGTGATGTGGTTGTTGCCTAGCAACAGGAGTCCTTGTCTCCCCTCAGTGCTAATCTATGCCGCTACTCAGAGAGGAGAGCGGGAGAGGAGAGCGGGAGAGGAGAGCGGGAGAGGAGAGAGAGAGAGAGAAAGAGAGAGAGGGAATGAAGTGCTCAATGCACGTGCCACTTTACTGCAGCTGTTTACTATATTCCAACTACCCCAAATTTGTTTTTCCTTTTCTCTTTCTCTCTACCTCTTCCTCCATGATTTCCCCTGTCTCTTTTCTTTCTTGCTCTACACTTTCCTCTTCCATTCTTCTGATCTCTCTATCTCTCTCTCTCTCTCCCTCCCTCTCTCTTTCCCTATGTATCAGTTTTTTTGTTAAATTCTAAGCTTTCCTGAGGTATTGTTGCTTCTCTTTTTTCCACCCAAAACTGCCTTTTGTTCATTTGTTGTTTGTTGATTTTCATTCATCCCTGTACATTTCTGTCTATCTGCTAGTCTTTCTATTCACCCTTTCCAACATATATATCACACTATATTTTCCTTTCTCTCTCTCTCTCTTTCTCTTTCTCTCTCTCTCCTCTCTCTCCTCTCTCTCTCTCTCTGTCATATAAATATATATAATCTCCTTCTTTCTTTCTACTTATCTCTGTACAAGTATTACAATGTATTTGTTTCTTTGTTTAACAAAAACCAACTCACTAGCTGAACACACCCATCTAAATTGACAAACCTATATGATATATATTGACTGTATCTTACTCCGCCCACCCCACCCTGATGAATCACCAATCCCTATATATTTACATCACCTCTGTATCATCACTGTATGCTCAATAACCTGCCACAAGTAGCAGAAAATTACAATTAATGTGGAGAGTGTGTTTGATGAATTATTAACAGATCTCGCCTGCTGCTGGTATCCCTTTTCAATAGAAGTGTGCCACTGAAAATTTAATTAAAAGTGTATTCAGTAGGGACAGATTAAGTATGGAATAGCACGGTTGGATTTAAAACTCAAATGATAGAGGAGTTAATTGAAGTGTGAGGATTTTTTATTAAACTCTATATATTTTTTTAAAGTTTTAAGCATAAATTTTGTGAGATTGAAATAGTTTTACAAAAGTGGCGGTGCTCATGACACTTTGATTGTATATTCAAAGAAGCATTATTTTGAATGGAAAAAAAACGGGAGGAGGTTTTGATTTAAAGCATAAGGTCCATGTGCACCATCTTCTTAGTGTCAAGTCCTCTGCCTCTTGTAACTCATGTTATTCTTTAACAAAGGGTCAAAACTTTTCTAGCTCTTAATAAACGATATTTAGAATCCTATTGGATGTAAAAGATCTTTTCATTATGCATTCAATCTAGAACCCCTGTGCCATCATATATTCTGGTCACATGCCTACCACCTCCCCGAGGGAATTACAGGACAGAATTTTGCTTTGATTTGAAAGCATAAAACTGTAAATTGATTCAGAAAATGATGAACTGTCTATTTATGCATTCCATGTGCTGAATCCATTCTCTGCTGACTAGTGACGCATTAGAAGGTGAAACAAAAACGATTTGTTTTCTTTTCTTTTTAAAGTAGCGTTTAGATTTCCAACTTAGCAGAGTTCTGTAATGGTTAGAGAATTAGCCTTCTCTGTTAATTCTGTGTCAAAACTGGGTTTCGTAAAATTTTGTTAAATTAATTGTCTTTGAAAGACGTCTACATGTACATGTACATACAACTCTCTACACTAAACTACATTTAAGATCATTATTCAAGCCAACTTAATTGGAGAAATATAATATTAGTAAGATAGGATTTATCTTCAGTTGGATACAATTAGAAATGTTACAAGTTATGTTTGGTTAGAAATTATGGAGCATCCTTCAAAAATCAAATTTTCATTAAAGACAGGTACATGTAGGTCTGGAGGGAGTCTTATATTCCGTAATTGTCATTCATTTACTATGATATTGTAATAGATTTATAGAAATTAAAAAATAATCCAGGCACCCAGCCACTCATTCTCATTTAGGCCAGGAAGATTGTGCGAAGACGTAACAAAAACAACACCCCAGTGAGTCTTTACAGCAATCAGAAAGATTAAAGTCATCTGCTTTGAGCTTGCTATAATTTCTGCTGGGGACATACAAATCTAGCGAGAGAGGAGAGAATCTTCATTGAATTGGCGTCGTCGTCGGTGTCAGAATAATTCCTGACTGGCTGGGTGCTCATTTCCAAACTGAGGATGGGGAAATAAACATGGGCTTGAAGATGCCCTGAAGAGGGGGGCCCCTCAATCAAGATTTCTGAGGGTGTAAATGAGGGATGCTTGCTCTGCTGTAGGAAAATGCTATACAATATATATTGGTTTAGTACTAGCTGGTGTACTGGCATACCTGTCTGTTTTATTAAGCTTTGAGTGCTGCCAATGTGTAGGAGTGATCACTTTTGAACAGCCTACAGTATGATTAGCATAAATCATAATTCATGTACACAATTCATTTTTATAAAGTTATTAGAAATATACCAGAATGAGACTATGATTTTATTTTATTGTTTAGGGAAACTGATGATCCAGGAAATGACAGCATCCGCCCAAAAGGGTAATACATGCAGGCCTACAAAATGTAAAATTTACAATTTTGTTTTATGTGTAGTTACTGTACGTTGAATAGGAGGATTATTCAAACTCAGATCAATATAGCAGCTATACACAGCCACTTTATAAAGAGATTTCTTATTTTGGGCAATTTAATTTTGAATGCAATTCTTCCACATATGCCATGGGGAAGACAAAAAAGGTGAAAACAACTCGAGGGAGTGAATAGCCTGTTGTTTTTTAAAGCCACACCCAAATCATTCATAATAAGACTGTACGAGAAAAATATTCTATAACTTAGATATAATATTGAGAGCTCTTATTGAAAATACTGCCCTGGGGGTTATCGCTTGAAATGAAAGAAAAGGCCTAGGAAAAGAATTCATATTCTGTGCAATACACGGCGCATATTGATGGAAACCCGATCCGTGGTGAGCAAATAAATGAGCGAATGATTTGGAGAAGAACGTGAGCCAACGGCTGGCTGGTCGATGATTCACTACTGATGTCAAGTGCAATGTAGGACAGAAGACTCTACATATATTAACCCTTACAAGACTAAGAATACTTGAGAATACCAAGGTGTAATTACCCTTCTATGTAGGGTTACACACATATTTGTCAAAACCTTAAGTATACTCTTTCAAGATTTTATATGGGGTTCTAAGTCTTTATTTCCTTGTTAACTTTGTTTTGGGATATATTCTACTGGAACAAAGTTTTTTTTTTAATTATTTTTGTTTTTATTGCTTTTTTTAGCAGAAATGGATAAAAATATTGGCCAGGCATGTTGCAAATTATTCTCATTTTAGGGTGGTTTTTGTAATGGCACAACATTATGTCATCAGATCTAGAATTCATCATAAAAACATAAAAAACTACAGATACACGTACATGTACATAGCAAAAATAGTATTGCCACTACACGTATGCAATAGCATGAACAATCATTTTCCTAGTATCATTTATAAAGCACAATGTTTTATTAAAGCCACGTTCGTGTACAATATTGTAACTGCATATGTGTCCTTTAATATAGAAAGAATAGAAATACTGTACATGTATGGCTTCAACATACAGGATGTATTTTTAAATCAAGAGTAGTGAGAATTATTGCCCTCCATTTGATAGCATTGTAGATACATGTAAATACTGAATAGACATATTTTATATTTCCTCTTTTGCAAAAGAAAACAAAATTGTCTTTCTGATTATATTTTGAAAAAACAATAACAGACTTACAATCTGCAGTAGATGTAGAAGTAGTAGAAGTTTTTGTTGTGGTTGATTGGTTTCAGAAAATCTATGTTATTAATTTCTTCCTCCAAACTATTGTTACTTCTCTTTGGATTCATGTTCTTTGTAATACCCTGAAATAGTATGATTTATGAGTCATGATCTAATTATACTGCCTCTGTTATTTTTTCACTGTCTTTTTCTCTTATTTTTTTCTCTTTTCTTTCTTTATTCTCTTTCTTTCTTTTCTCTCTCTCTTTCTCTTTCTCGTCTTGTTTCTTATATCTATCGTTCTTTTTCTATTGTTGCTTTCTTCTATCTTTGTTCTTTCTCCTCTCTCTTCTCTGTGTCTTTCCTTTATCCTCTATGTATCTTTCTTTTATCTTTTCTCTCACTCCTTTTTTCCTCTTTGTATCTTACCTTTATCTTTTCTCTCTTTTTCTCCACTCTTTCTTATATCTCTTTCTTCTCTTTCTGTCTATCTTCTCCCTCTGCATGTATATCTGTCTCACAGTCTCATTATCTAATACCCTCTACATGTATGTATAATTACCTCATTCTCTCATTTTCCTCTCTCTCCCTCTTTCTCCCTCTTTCTCCCTCTTTCTCCATGTCTCTCCTTTTCCCTCCTTTACTCTTTACCTATGAGCTATATTGATATATTTGATCGCCCTTGACCATACACACAATGCTTCTATTGATTTCCAGTGGTAGTCTGACTCCTCTGTCTCTCTCTCTCTTTCTACCCTCCCTCTTCTCTACCCTTTTTTCTTTCGCCATCTCTCTCTCTCTCTCTCTCCCCCCCTAATTTCATCTGAGCCCTTCTAATGCTTTATGGCATGATAGCTGATCGCTAGGGGCAACCAGATGCAGCCCATCACAGAAGGAGTGATCCTCTTTTTTCTTTCACTTATAATGCACATAATTCTTTGCTTGTACAGTGAACAGATATGTACATGTACAGTAGTACATACTGTGTGTCTGTAGTCTTTTCTCTCAATTTGTCTTGTTTTTTCTTCTTTTTTGTTGCCATAAATTAGCCTTTACACTTTTATGATGTAAATATATTATGGTGAAAAGAATAGGCATTAATTGCATGTCATGAATCGGTTTAGAGTTATATTATTTTATTAATGTCAAATTAAATCAATAGGACACTCTTCTCCACCCATCTACAATGGGTCTATGCCTACAAATGTACTTTGTCAGGTGAATGTTAGGAAGATGAAACAATAGCTTTTGTATCTATGGCTGCATATCTTCAATGTTTTTATATCTTTGTAAGGAGTTAATTAATTTTAGTGCCATATAAATGTATCAAATAGAAGCATACCATAAATCTACATAGTTATTCATCTCCCAATAAATGTATGTTATTAAATGAATGTGATAAAGATGCAAAGAATATTTGTCGACATCACCAACAAAACCATAGCATCGAGTTGTGCTATCATATCGTCGCTGTTTTCACGAAGTGACGGTAGTGAAAAAAAATTGCATTCACTTTGCGTGTAAATTTTCCTCACTACCGTCACTTCGTGAAAACAAGGACGATATCAACAAACTGCAAGTCCATTGTGCATACAGTGTGACTCAGTACCACTGAGTAACAAGTGTTTCTATTTTTCTCCTGTACACTGCGGTATCCACAGCTGTGCAATACTCATATATCACCTGACTAAAAAGCTTGTATGCTGTTCCATGTTGACTTTCTCAAGGTGCCTGAAAGCTAACCATTGTTATATCACTAAGGGAGAAACAAGTGGATGAGCTGTGGCATGCCAGAAAATCAATATTACAGTCAGAGAAGAATACATGGCTCTTTAGCCTGGATAATAATACTATGAATAGCTAATGCATCTGTATTTGGATGTTGCTATAGGAGTTCCCTATATTTAGATCACATGTCAAAGTCCAAATAAAGAAATAATTATTAATGTACTTGTACACTGTACATATGTACCTGGGGTATTAAACAAAAAAATCTGTTAAAAGAATATCAGATCTAAACAGTTTTAAATGGATTGGCAAAAATTATCAATACTTATTAAATCAATATATCATTGTCTATTTCATTAAAAAAAATTAAAAAAAATAAAATTGATTTATATTAAATTGTATTGTTGATGATTTAAGGTCTTGTAAAAATAGATTCAATCTGTTGAATGAATTCTCCTTTTCCCACAGGCTTTAGATGGGGAACATCTGGTTCCTTTATACAATGCATTAAAATATCTCTCTGTTTTTAAAGAATAATTTAATTATATATTTTTTTAATGGTAAGTAAATTCTTTTTCCAACACAACTTGTGCTTGACTACATACAGTGTACATGTACTTCAATCTTTTGCATTTGTCCCAAATGCATGTAGATTCCAAATATGATTTAATTTTGATATGTTGCATATTTAAATATGTTTAAAAAGTAATCACATTTATAAGTCTTATTTCTTGTTTTATTCAAACTTTTCAGAACCGATTCCGATGAGGTTACGAGCCCTCCCACAATCCTTTTGGCAGCAGCCTAACACCGTCAATTCAGCGTCTCCTGGCTCGATGTACTCCGTTCTTCCTCCCCTCTGCAAAATGGAACAGTCCAACTCAGACCTGGCAGGTAAGGTCCCGTAGAGTGATTGGCTTTTGATGAAAACCAAGGATACTGTTTCATACTACATATATTTGCTATGCTCAGTAGCTTAAAGAATATTATACACGTTCATGTACATTTACATTGTAAGTTTGAAGAACAGCATTATATTGTGAATGGTAGTTTAAAGGACAACAAAAATGATTTTAACTTTGTATAATAAATCAATTTAACGCGACAATACAAAATAGAAGGATAAGGTTGTATTTTCCTGTTTGATATAAAATCAAATCATAAAGAAATAGTTTATTTCTCTTCTGTTTGATTGATACTATCCATTGCTACTATCCATTCTAGGAAATAAATGGATGGAAATTCAAACATGAGTATGTGCAACCATAAACTACATGTAGTAACATAACCAGTTTAGGGATTATGGTTGGCATTATAACAAATCAATACATTTAACTTTCATTTTATCTGGAGTCAAAAGAGCATCAACTCATATTCTTCAACACAGAGTTAATGCCCTTCTGCTCCGGACAAATGATTTTATCTGTGTTATTGTCTATGTCATACAAAATTTCAATTACATGCTGCATTCAATCACATCTCATGGGTGTTTGCACAGACATGTTTGTGAAGTATCCGCATACGCAACCACCTACTTACCTGTACAAGTGGCTCTTTATTAACTATTTATTAACTGAAACCCTAAACTACCAGTGAAATGGTCTTCAGAATACCACCCCATGAGGCAAATGGCCCCACCTTTTTTTTTTCTTCATCATTCTTTTCTTTTTCTTTTTCTTTTTGTGGTTTTGCCAGAATTTGGTATTTATATATTTATATTACTTCACTATAAGCCATTAGAAGCCTTCGTAGATCTCATACTGTAACCATGTCAACAATAAAAACACACTGCACATCTGTGTCATGCTTAATGGTAATCTCAATCTATTTTGATGATGAATATAAATAATTAGAAACTGCTAGCTGTCCAGGGGTCTAGTATTCATTCTGCTATTAATATAATTGATAGTTCCCCTGAATTGTATTTCCTAAATGGTGTCACACAATCTTAGAATATGCACACCCATTACCAGTTCACCACACATTGAAGAATATTGTATTCATTTCACATTTCTTTGAATTTACTGGTTTACATATAATCTTCACAGTCTTCACTATTGTGGTGGATACCGGAGCATTATAAGTATTCATATTGTTATTATTATTATTATTTGTA